TAGGTTGGAAGGGACCTTAAAGATCATCTTGTTCCAACCGCCCTGCCATGGGCGGGGTTGCCTCCCACTAGACCAGGTTGCTCAAAGCCCCATCCAGCCTGGCCTTGAACACCTCCAGGGATGGGGCATCCACAACTTCTCTGGGCAACCTGTTCCAGTGCCTCACCACCCTCAGAGTAAAGAATTTCTTCCTCATATCTAATCTAAAGCCACTCTCTTATCATTACCCCTTGTCTCTTGCTACACTCCCTGAGAAAGAGTCCCTCTCCACCTTTCCTGTAGGCCCCTTAAAGTACTGGAATGGGCTATAAGGTGTCCCCAGTGTCTTCTTTTCTCCAGGCTGAACAACCCCAAATCTCTCAGACTTTTTTCACAGGAGAGGTGTTCCAGCCCTCTGATCGTTTTTGTAGCCCTCCTCTGGACCCGCTCCAACAAGTCCATGTCTTTCCTGTGCTGAGGGCTCCAGAGCTGGACGCAGTACTCCAGGTGGGGTCTCACCAGAGCAGAGTAGAGGGGCAGAATCACCTCCCTCACCCTGCTGGCCACGCTTCTTGTGATGCCTACGGTTGGCCTTCTGGGCTGCGAGCACACATCGTCAGGTCATGCCCGACTTTTCATCCACCAGTACCACAAGTCTTTCTCCTCAGGGCTGGTCTCAATCCATTCTTCACCCAGCCTGTATTTGTGCGTGGAATACACAGCTTGATACAAGTGAGTGTCACAGGCACTGAGGGTCAAAGGAAATGATGTACACCAAAGAATAATAAGAGGCAGGTAATGCCCTGGGAACCATGCATTTCACTAGGGGTTTTGTGCACTGTATGTTGGTTAAGGATTAAGCTATTTCCTGGAGAGAAGACAGCGGGAACAGAAACATGGTGGAAGAGTTGTAATATTTTACCGTCAATCTAAAGACAGAAGTTCAAGCCTCCTAGCAAACTTGCCCTGACACCAGCTTCCCCTTAGTACAGCCATGACTGGTTATCAGGTTGCTTGAACTCGAGATAAAAGATGGATGGACGTGATCTAGTTTGCCATGACCACATTATTTGAGTTTCCTGCTATTTCATTGTGCCTTCATCATACCAAACTTCTGACAGTCGTCCAACTGGACTGTTGAATGGTGGATATAGAGGTTTTACCAGAAATACACCGGTTATGTACATGTGTGGTGTTCCACGCTGCCAGAACAGTGCAAGGTTAGTGACAGAAAGTATTCAGATTGCTGGCTGCATCCAAGTTTGATTTTGGGACCTGTGCCTCATGGTGACAATATCAGAATGATAATGCATTTACACGCAGGCATACCATAAGACTTCTCTGTCTTTGTATAATGATGTATCGGACTGATGATGAAGCCGACTGCTCATAAACCATTTACCAAAGGGTAAGTACGGTGTTAAGTATGGTAACCTAAAGCTGTATCAGTTCAGTCACAGAGGATCACAGAGCAGTTCAGGTTGGAAGGGACCTTGGGAGGTCAGTCTCTAGTGAAACCTCCTGCTCAAAGAAGGAGCAACCTTCAACTTGTGTTGCTCAAGACTTTGCCCAGTCGGGTCCTGCAAACCTCCAACATACGCTTTTGTTCTACAAGGTCCCAGTTTCCCTTAACGCCTCGCATGGATAATGAAATGAGGGAAAGGGTGATGAGAGGTATATGGATATTTCCATGTTTAAGGCACAGGACCAGAACCCAGGAGTCCTGGCCCTGACAGGCTTTCTCTGTGATACTAGGTAAAAACGGGTAAAAATATATAAAGAGGCTCTGGTTAGTGTTGCACCGGCAACCTTCATTCTGGCCTGTCTTGAATTTGTTAGTGATTAATTTTCCTGTCTGCATGGTTTTTCAAAGATATTTTTGTGTAAATTTTTATAGATAATAATACAGCCTTTGTCCTACAAGATCCCAAAGTGCTTCTCGAGTTCTACACCTAACTGGCCAAAGCCTACTCCTGCTGAGGCCAAGAGACATTTTGCCATCGATTTCACTCGGGCCAGGGTTTGGCTGCGTAGAAATGGAATACAGGCAATTCTGTATGTCCGTGTGGCCTTTAATAAATTCCGGTTTCCCACTTGGGCAATAAATCTGCCAGCAGAAGAGTAGTACAAAATTTGATGTCACTTACTGAACAACTAAAGGTTTCAATATAAACTTTGCAAGGCATCAGTAGGCCGTAATGACAGTTGCTCTAAAAGTATCAATAGCATCACTTAGAGCCAGAGGTGGATGATGCACACTGTGGTGTGTGCAGAGGTGGATGCGTATGTAGAATCTCTCTATAAGCAGCAGATTATACATGTATTTTTCAATCACTTCATAAAAGATCGGCTCTAGTTAGTTGCATAACCTAAAATTCTGGAACATTTTTGCTGTCCTACGTCTGCAAAAGTTTTTCATTTAGGAACACACACGTTTCTTGTCAATGTTATTTCTACAATCACTTAGTTAGAGCAGGGCATATTGTTCTCTGAATTTCTTGTTAAAATGTTTCACTTAATTAAACTTTTACAACCAGTTCTGCTCTATGTCTGATACTTGCTGTAAATTACAAAGAAAAGCCCCTCTGGCATTTATGAGAATTCAGACGATGAAGACTATAGGAAAAAAAAAAGAAAATAAAAGAACCAGTGTCACTGAGCCCCACATAGTTGCTGATTCCCAGTTATCTCCCGCACAATTCAATTTAATGAAATATAGGATTTCTTATTATATAAACTAGACTTAAAAAGAGGCCAGAATAGAACTAATAATATTTCAAATGATTATATTGCAAATATTTCATAAGTGGAGTGAATTGCAGCATAATTTGAATAGTTGTGGTTTTGTCTACATTTCCGTAACACATTACATGGAAAATAAGGCTAAAATTTGCATGAACCTGAAAGAAAAAGAAACCAACCAACAAACAAACAACAGGAAAAGCCACGGCAATTCAAGTCACACCTGGTTGCATGTGCTGGTGGGACATACCTATGCACACCCACAAATGTACACGTCCCTCCCTGCGTCAAAACATTGCCAGAGTTTTAAAGGGGGGCTTGAGACAACCTCTCTGGTGTGGGGATTTAACAGCAGCTAAGTTCCAGCAAGCTCTCGTTTTTGAGAGCGATGTTCTGCTTCCAGGCCCTCCCAAAACCAACTGTGGGATGACTGCAAGATGGCTGTCACGTCCGTTACAGGATTGAGAGCTTTAATCCAATTGGCGGCAATGCTGCTATGAGACTTGGAAATCTCCTCTAACCTCTAACCACAGTTTAGTGTGCAAACTATTGTGTTTGCTCTTGGGAAGCTTTGCTCTTGCCAAAGAGAGCCAGTATTTATGCTATTTGGCATATTTATTATTCAGTTAACCCTTTCCTTATAAGTAAATGCTTTTTTAGAATTTATAACCCTCCCAAGAACTATGGGTGATGGACAGAAATAAATAGCCATGAGGGGGGAAAACAAAAGAAAACAAAACTTTAAATCTCTCTTCTCCCATAACTTTTATAATTTCTTCTATTGTCCTTTGTTTCACAGGGCTATTTGTCATGATGAAGGGAAGCAAGAATCAGACAGTGTCTGAGAAATCTGGTTGTGCTTAAACATTTGTGAAATTCAGGGAAATGAGTTGTGCAATCTGACATCAAATAAAGATCAGATGACCCATAGGATTCAGTTTCCTTGTGAATGAAGGTGAAAGGGCTCTGCAGCCAACATCTTTATTTACTGGGGTACTCAGTAGGACACTTAAACGGGGATTTTTATACTTCTGGTTACCCTGGGCAGGGTGACACACGCAGATTAGTTCTATTCAGAATGAAACCTTCTTCTTTTAAAGTTCACAGGGGACTACTCCATCTCTTTATCTGAGAATTATTGCTGTATTTGTGATGGCTGAAAGCTCTAAAGAGAAAACGGATTTACCTTACTAAGAGATGCCCACTCTGCTGACAGCTAGATAGGTGTGCGCGTATACTACCGTGCTTGACAGATTCTGATTTTGGGGTTAATGTAGCTCATCTGACAAAAATCATTACTGGCAGACTTACTTGGGTAATAATATTATCTGGCAATAGGGATATGAAAGCCCAACTTGCTCTAAGACCTGGCTAGACTGGTGTGGACCAGCTGTGGAGGTGGGAATGTTATTGCTGCATGAACTCAACACAGGCACTGGGCTCTCGTGGTTCCAGGACCTGAGCCAGCATCTTTGCGCAGTGCTGCTCTGTGCCGTAAACATGTATCTGCTGCCACAAAACTTATCCGGGTATTTGTAAACTGGTGCTCTAGTGCTTGATGTGTGTAACCAATCATACCATGGGATGAAAACAGACTCTCTGTTTGCCCATTAATGAACAAGCAACAACCGTCTTACCGAGTGAACTGATTGTATCAAAACAGACATGTACACAAAATTTCTAGTGTTGTTTGTTAAAGAGTTTATTCTCAAAGAAGCAACATTATTTCAGCCTGAGCATGCCCGTCTCAGGGACTATATAGTATTCCAAGAGCTGAAAATAGACCTTAACAGGTTTGCACGTTTTCCACTCAAAAGTAGCCCTATTTTGTGAGTGAATTCTTCAATGTTATTTAAGTTCATCTTTAAATCAAGAATTCATTTAGATGAGGTCTAGGCTTCAGGCTAGGGCTGAGGGGAAAACTTTTTGACTTTCATCATATTCAGCGATACCAGTGAAAGTTTGACAGTTAACTAAACTCACGATAAGTAAAAGTTAGACAATTTGACGGGAAGCCAGAAATATCATGGGGAAACAGGTAAGAAAACCCTGTATTTCTGAACCATAAATTAGCCAGTAGAAAGAAAACCCATCTAAAATTCTTGGCATAGTTTTCTGAAAACTGATACATGCATGAATTTATTTTTCTTAACAGAACATTGGTATTATTATCCACAGTTTTCCAGGAGTGAGATTTCTATTCTGTTTATATTTCTATGTTCTTTTTCACTTTTTGATGTTATTTCCAGAATTCATTTTTTTTTTTCTTCATTTTTTGTACATGCTCTTTTCCTCTTCTGTTCTCCCAAACTTATCTATGAAGGTATTTCTATGCTGGGAAATAGATGTGTTTCCACGTTGTTCTTCAACTGGCTTACAAATGTGACCTTTATCTTAAAACCTGCTTATTCTATGTATTCCATAGCTTTTGTGACTATTTACAATATGTATTGCACATTATTGGCTTGATCCAACATACAGAGAAATCAAAGCGAAGACTTCCCATTGACCTTGACAATTGTTGGATTAGGCCCTATGGTCCAAGTAAAAGCAGCTGTAATGAATGACACAAAAATGTAATAAAGAACTCATTTATTGACTTATTAAGCTTATTAAAATAACCTAGTGTAGATTATTCAGTTTTCATTTACAAATTCATATTCAAACAGTATCTACCTGAAGCTCCAGTATGCTGATTGCTGCTATTTTTAAATACATTGCGGTACAAACTTATTACTTCTCCTCTTCTGCATGTCCATTCAGGTCTTCATGCGCTGCTGTATATTTTCCATAATCTGCTGAAGACTCAGTTGCTCAGTGGCAAGTTGTTCATCAATGAATCTTTGCATTTCTTCCCATTTCCTGGAGCCTTGCTCAATGCCTTGCTGAATCAGTGTGCGTGTTAGTTCCACCTTTTTTCTGAGTGCATCTCGGCTTTTTTGGGGCATTTGGTAAATGGACTGCCAGTCGAATGGCTTGGGCACATCTATTCTAAGCTCTCCTTGACGAACAGCAATATATGGCTTTATGCTCTCAGCTGTCATTTGCTCAAACCAACGAAGAAGCTCTGAGATATACTGCAGAAATGCAGAGTAATTTTCTATAGTTAGATCAATTAACCTTCTGGCCTCACTGATTAGCTTTTCTTGGGAATGACTAAGCTGCCCATAGATCTCCTGGAGTTTCTCTTTGAGTTGCTTGTTGTGTTCATCGATTTTCCTCTTGGCAGCTGCAGACCAATATCGGATTTTTTCCTGAGCAGCAGATGAGAGCTCCATGACCTTCTGTTTTCCTTTTCCTTCAACATCAGTTATAAGGTCATAATATTCCTGGCTGTACTTTTCCACCAACTCTCTCACTTGGTCTGTCAGGCGTGTAACCGAGTCAGCAAGATCGCCAACGTACTTGTTCTGCCAATCCACTAGCGTATCTATTAGATTCTTCAGCCATCCTAGTACCTTGTCTTCCACCTCATAGTATTTCACTGACCATCCAAGTGTAGTTGGATCAAAATATTCCTCCCGCAATGCCTTTACATAGAGGAGCAGCTGGTGCAGCTTTTCTGAAAGGTCCTGGAATGTCTTCTGGCTAAGGTCTTTAAACTGAGAAATGTATTTTTTAACATCTTCTGCCAAAGATCTCAGTTTCTGTACATAGTCTGAAGCCATTGCATCTTTGTACAGCTGTTGCGTTTGGACCTTGATGTCTTCAAAATTTTTGGATTGCAAGCTTCTAACCATTTCTTCTACCCGCTGAAAAACTTGTTGGACTACTTGTTTCAGTTCCTTCAGCCTTCCAGCAAAGTCAGCTTCCTGGAGAGTAGCAAATGTCTGCCTGATTTTTTCCTGCAAATGTCTCAGCATTTCTTTAATTTGATCAAGTACATTACGGCCTCTAAGAATCGTTTCAGAAGCAGGAACTCTGACTTCGAGCTCATTGATTGCTGCAATCAAGGCATCAAAGTACTCCTGAAGTTTTGAAAGGCATAAATCAGCATTTTTTGCTACCTTCTCTGTAGTCATAAGGTATATTTCTTCACCAGTGTACTTTTCAGGCAGCCCAGGGACTTGGAATTTTGTGGTCTTCAGGAATTCAATGGCTGAGTCAATTAGGTGTTTTATTCTCTTGTGATACTCTTCTATTATGTCAATTGTAGCATCCAAAAGCTTTGCTTTTATTCTTTGATAGTCAAACTGTTCAGCTTGATCTGCTGCTTTTTGATATAGCTGTTTAGCTTTCACCTTCATCTCCTGATATTTGCCAGAGGCCTCATTGGCAGCTGTGCGAAGCTGAGCATCTATTTGATCTACTTGTTTTACAGCAAATACGTATGCTTTGTCAGCATTGTTCTGCATGATATTCTTAATCTTTAAGGTGGCAGCACTAATTTCCAGTCCCATATGCTCCTTATGATACCGATTAACATACCTATAGGCTGCATTTGTCATTTTAGGTACTTTTTCTTTCAGACCCAGCAGCAAGTCTTTGGCAGCATCCTCTTTCCAGTTGAATTTCATTTGAATCAGGTCAGGTTTCTTGAAGGATATCTCACTTTTTAAAATGTCAATGTCCTTCTGAGGAGCAGACTGAAAATATAGAACAGGATAAGAAAAAGGTAACTTGTATATAAAACAAATCCTGTATTATTTATGAGTGTATTTCAACATTATCATCTTTGCATCTTTCATTTTATTATATATTAGGACAAATGCACTACAATTTTTTGTCTACTGTATGTTTGCTCTCATCTTGAAAGATTATTTTGAATGAAATTATATTGTATCAAGCTATTTTGTGCATCTTCAAACAGCAGGACTAGAACATAACTTAGTCTGGTCTTTTTTAAAATTTGACTGCAAATAAGATTTTTCCTTCCTTTATATTAAATGCCTATCAAGTCTCCTAAGGCATGCGAATTACTTGGGAACATGGACCTTCTCCTCACTCTTCAAATCATTTAAAGTTAATTCAGAAGGAATTTTCTTCATATGAAAATAGTAGAGGGTTTCATTTTGTAATCATTTAAATCAATGAGATCATTTAGAGAGTTACTCAGACTAATTAAAGATCATTGAATAAGAATCTATTTACAGAATCAAATTTTGCAGTTTTCAGTAGTAAATTATTGTTAAGTTAGTGAATCATGAGTTGCTTGTGATTCCTAAATTAGTATTTCATTCTGGCAGGCAAGATTTTAAGTTTGAAATTGTTGTAGTATGCCAGTAATAGCATGTTTTGTTAGCAAATCTAGTAAGGTTTTTAATTCTCATGACATATAGTCACATATTAATGGATTAAAAAGGACACTCTACGGATGGTCAGTGGCCTGATTCCTATAATGGCCACTTTTGTAGTAATTACAAGTAGCCTGATGGGTATATGTTCAACCTGATGGGTGGCTTATCTAAAACTGGTTTTGTACTTTCTTCACTTTCAGTGGGTGTGCCTTCTTGATCATAGGAGAGGGCAAAATTAGCTGCGTGGAGGAGCTGAAACAGCTTCTTCACACAGATGCTCCTTTTAGTGTTGGAAAGGCC